CTTTGGCCTATCCAAACTCTGATTTTTCTCTCTTTAATACAGTAAGACCATTTGGTTCCTTTTGAGTTTCCCCTCTCTATAGCATAGTCCAGAAACTGACTCTAGGCAGAAAGCTGTGGTAATCACAGAGCTCATGCATGTTTCCTTTCTCCTTGGGATTACAGTCTGTTGTCCCATGTTTGAAATCAATTGTTTCATATATTTTGTTCAGTGTTCTATTTGGTTATGGTAAAAAGATAAGTCCAGATCCCGTTACTGCCTCAGAGCTGTTAAGTATGTCATTGGAAATATACTACTTTAATAATGACATATTTTATTTCTTTACTACATTTAATAAATATTTACGGGACACCTACTGTGGAAATCTAGAGATAAGTGAGTCACAGACTAATGCTATACAAACAAGTAAAAAGTTACAGTATTGTGGTTGCTTTCAAATATAGTCCCCAAATTCTTTAATACTCCTTTAGTCAAGAATTGGGTTTTATTTCCTCTCCCCTTGAGTGTAGGCACTGTGACTGCTTGTCCAATAGAATATGACTGAAATGATGCTGTGCCCATTTCCTAGCGCTTAGGAAACTAGCAGTTTCCTTTTCCTGTTTTAGGAAAACTAGCAGTTTCCTCTTCCTGTCTCTTGGAATGCTCAGTCCAATATGCTGAGAAACCAGGCGGACACACAGGAGGTCCCATACAGTTGTTCTAGCTGACAGCTCCAGTGACGTAGCCAACTGCCAGCATCAATTCCTAGAAATGTAAGTGTGAAAGCTTTCAAACACTTGCCAACCCCTAGGTGTAGAGTCATTCCAGCCTTTGAGGCACCCTGCTGAGACCATGTGGAAGAAAAGCAATCTGTGCCTGCAAAGCTCTGACTAAATTTCTGATTTGCAATCAAAAGGAATGATTATTGTTGTCTTAAGACAAGTTTGGAGGGGTTTCTATATAGTAAAAGACACCTGGAACAAATATAATACCATAAAGTGCTGTAACAGAGGTGGCCAATAATCAACTAATTAACACATATTTATTATATATCTATTACTGGTCAGGTACTGAGTCAGGAAAGGCTTTTGGGAGGTGAAATCTGAGCAGGTTTAGAGAAGGTATAGTAACAGAGAAGGAAAAGCAGAAAAAGTTGCTTGTTTGAAGATATGGAAACCATGGAGCATCAGAAATGTTAGAGACTACGAAATAAGACTGAAGAGATGAGGTGCTAGGGGCCAGTTCAGTTAGGATATAATTATTAAGAATCAGGATTTAATCCTGAAGAAAGGAGATTACTCTGCACACTTGTAATCATGCAATTACTTTAATTATTTACTTAATGACTGTATTCCCCATAGAATATACTCCAAAAAAGGTTATCTCATATAAAGCATTTATCCTTATGTTATTCCAGCATACAGAATGGTACCTGGCACACATAAGGAATTAATAAATATGTACTGAATGACTGAGTTATTGAAGAGCCATGTGAGAATTTTATAGGAATGATACAATCAGATCTGTGGGTTAGAAAAATCATTCCAGCAGGGGTTTGGAGAATGGTTTGGAGATAGGTAGGTGTATTAGTCAACTCTGCTGTCCTAAGAAATGATCATAGATTGGGAAGCTTAAAAAAACAGAAATTTATTTTTGGAAGCTTGAAGTCTGAGATCAGGGTGTTAGCATGATCTGGTGAGAACTCTATTCCTGGCTTCCCTTCTGGGTCCTCACAAGGCAAAGAGAGAAAGTTCCCTGGTGTCTATTCTTAAGAGGGCACTAATCCCATCATGAGGGCTCCACTGTCATGACCTCATCTAAATGTAATTATTGAATTATTTACCAAAGGCTCCATCTCCAAATACCATCAGATTTCGGGGTAGGGCTTTAATGTGAATTTGGGTGGGATGCAAATCAGTCCATAGCAGTAAGAAAGGAGAAAAATATAGTAGGAGGTGGATGTAATAATTCATCTAAGAGATGATGAGGGTGTGAACTAGTGTGAATAATCTTCCTGGGGTATTTCTTTTCCTAAACTTTAAAATTATAGACTTTTCCTGGAATAACTCCATTGCACATTTTTAAACGTAGAATTTTCAAAATTAAACAAAAAAGGGATTAAACATTTTAAAATCAACCATAGAATTTAGTAAACACATATTAGAGAAATGTTTTACTGTGAAATTGACATATAGTCTCTATATCTTAAAAACTTTGGTAATCTTAGGGGTGCCTCGGTGGCTTAATCTAAGCGTCTGCCTTCGGCTCAGGTCATGATCCTGGAGTCCCAGGAGCTAGCCCACATTGGGCTCCCTGCTCAGTGGGGAGTCTGCTTCTCCCTCTGTCCCTCACCCGGCTATCATGCTCTCTCTTACTCTTTCTCTCTCTCTCTCAAATAAACAAATAAAGTCTTAAAAAACAAACAAACAACTTTGGTAATCTTAAAAGTGCAACTCCTGCAGTTTGTGTTTTAAGGGGTAATAACAGAAAGCTAATCTCAAAATACAAACCCATTTCACTTTTCGTATTCGGCTTTTATGTTAAACCTAACAATAATATTAAAAGTTCTACATTTAAAAATATTTATTATTTATAGTATATTAATCATAAAGGCCCCAAATAGCTAAAGTAATTCTTTTAGGTTAGAAGACATGGATAATGCTGTCAAGACTAATTCCTTCACTATTCCCATTGCTTTTACATATTGATGATTAAGGTTTGAACAATTTGATCACTAGCTTACTGCCGGCAACAGAGTAATTGTTTCCTTACTGAAGCACAAAGCACATCCAAATGCACTTTCATAAATATTTGGCTTTGATCGAGGGTGATTATGATAATGTGCCCCAGACACTGCTCCAGAACTTAAGATGGACAAGTTGTCACTTGATTCTGTCAGCCCAGTCATCAAGAATCAGTTTTTGAGAGAGAATGTTCTGCTTGTCATATCAATAGTGATGTTTTAGAAGAATTTTGACTTGCCATAATGAAACACAAACAAGCTTCTGGCATTGGCTCCTTAAAATGTTAAGAACTGGTGTTACTAACACACATTTTTTACACTGTTGTGTTTTAACTGTGCTTCCGAAAGAAATACAGGCTCATTATTAAAATATCTGGAAAATAGAAAATGCGTAAAGAACAAAAAATCATCCCAAATTTTACCACTCAGAGATAAACATGTCATAATAGTCTCATGTATTTCCTTTCAGACTTTCAAAATTGGGGGTACTTTGTAATTTTATATGTTTTTGTCTCCTGCTTTTAAAAACTTATGTATTTAGATGTCTTTCTATGAAAATAGATTTATATAATCACCTTTAACAGCTGTGGAGTTTTTACCTTGTGCGTACTATAATTTACTTGACCAATATTAATTACAGTGATTTCTTACACTTATTTGGTGCTTACTATATGCTAGGCACGTAAGGGCTTGGTTTGTATTCATCCATTTGATCCTCACAACCCTATTATTATTCCTGTTTCTCACAGATGAAAAATTGAGGCACCAAGAAGTAATTTATACAACCTCTTAATATTGGACATTTTAGTGGCTAACAATACTTTGATATTATAAACAACGTTGCCATGATATCATCGTTCACGTTCTTAAAGAATGTCTTTCTGATAAATTCCAAAAAGTATAACTGCTGGGTCCAAAACTGTCCACATATCTAAAAGCTTTTGTAACAGACTTTCAGATATTTCCTTTAGGAAGTCTACATAATTTAAACTTCGTTCAACAACGTGAGTGTACAATTCTCCACATCCCGTTTTAATCCCTGACAAAAAGGTATCTGAATGTTACTTTAATTTGCATTTTTCACTTTTAGAAATGAGATTTCATTTTTAATGGATTTTTGTAAGCACTCTTCGTATACTAATCCTGTCGTTGACAAGTTGTAAATATTTGTTTACGTTATATTTGTAAGTGCTCTAATTTAGATATAATTTACATAATTCCAGTTGATGGGCAAGATGCTTTTACTTTGCTCCAAGTGGGACACAAACCTCTAGGTACTCCTTAAAATATCTATATGATAGGGGCACCTGGGTGGCTCAGATGGTTAAGCGTCTGCCTTCGGCTCAGGTCATGATCCCAGCGTTCTGGGATCGAGTCCCGCATCGGGCTCCCTGCTCCTTGGGAACCTGCTTCTCCCTCTCCCCCTCTGTCTCTCATGAATAAGTAAATTTAAAAAAAAAAATCTTTAAAATATCTACATGACGTAGGCATAACTTACTTATAAATAAATCACTAAATAAACATTTTAAGTTGTTAGGAATCCCTCATCCGTTTCTAGCTCCATTTGCATTTTGTTTGTTTGTTGTTTTTTTCGCTCAGTCTTGGGGGGGAGGGGGCTATCGTAGACATTCTTGGGGTGTGAAACTTATTTTCCAATCATCACAACTGCTTAGTGACTGCACAGTTAGTCAGTAGTGCCAACGCCCAGCTACAAGTGCTTTCGACAGAGATTCAGAAGCCAGGCGTTCAGGGACTCTCGGGAAGGTGCCAGCGTTACCTCAGCCTCTCCGAGAGAGCCGCGCGCCCTGACACTCCCCTCTTTAAGGATTCGGGCCAATCCGTTCAGCTCACATGACTTCATCCAAACAAGTTTCTTGTCACCTCAGGCAGCAACTAAACCCACGGCTTTTTAACTTAGATGACCCCCCAACGAAGGAGTTTCCATCCCCCTCAATAGGGACTATAAAATTATGATAACCAAAAGAGTGAGAGGCGAGCACAGAGTCGCATTCAACCCTCACGCGACCCTTTTTCTTTCTCAGTCTCTTGATTCACTCCTGGGTTCGGTAGTCGGCTTCGGCGCGCCTGGAGGACCCCTTCCTCCGGAGACTCCTGGCCAAAGCAAAAGCAGAAAACGCAGGCATTACTCCCACCCTCCGGTATGACCGATTACAAGGGGAGTCAGGCAGACGGGGTGCTATGTTGGGGTCTGTTTTGGCGGGGCAGGTGCCGGGCAGGTTCTGAGCAGGCAGCGCCGTAGTCGCCCAGGTTCCCGACAGGCTCCACGCGGGGGGCCTTGTCAGCGCCTTCGCTGTTGCCGCTGTTGCCGCCGCCGCCGCCGCCGCCGCCGCCGCGCTGCCGCTGCCGCGGTTGCTGGGGGTCGGTGAGAGGTGGAGCTGTAGCGAGCCCTGTGGAGTCCGTCTGTGTTGCTGTTTTTGCCTGACGAGTCTTCTTTCCTGCGTCGCTCCCGGACTCCCGTGGTGTCGAGGGGGAGCCCCTGCGGACACCTGGGCTCGCAGTGGAGATGCCTCTCTTTGCCACCAATCCCTTTGATCAGGATGTTGGTAAGTGCTTGTGCCGCTCCCTGTCCATCGCGCGCGGGAGTGCAAGCCCACCCTGCCCGCTCTCTGCGTGCGTTCCTGAGCCCCTGGCCGGGGCTGAGTGCTTCCCCTTTCCTGAGGCTCCTTCCTGAAGAGTTTGGAGGAGGTTGGGGGCTTGGCTCATCCTTTTTGAAAGAGATGGTACTCAGAGAGCCTGCGAAGTGGGCCTTAGGCGAGGGCTGTGGGTTTCGAAAGAACTGCTTTAGAGGGTTGATGTGGAGGGCCTGGGAGGAACAGCTCGTGTAGCATCTGGTGCTGGGACAGTGCTTCTGGAAGAAGGGAGTTGGGAGCTGAGCAGTACGTCACCTAGGGTAGGATTATACGCCCTCCAATAACGTGTTTCCCTGGATAAACGTTAAACGTTTGGAACTAGGAGAATGTTTTAGATGAGCTTCCTTAGGGGATTTTAAAATCCTTTTTTTTTTTTTTTTGTAATTGTAACGGGAGGCGAGAGCTTCTGGCTAAGGGTAGACTCTCAAAAACGTTGGGAGAGATGAAAATGGAATACTTGGCAGCAACTGAAACCGAATTCAGGACCCGAGCCATTGTGCTGCATTCTTTAGGCTGTCTCTCAGTACTTTAAGAAGTGTGGAAGAGGACCTTAAATCTGAAAATGCTGATTTGTTTTGATTTTGAAATGCCTTTTTTGTTTGGTGTTTCTGTTTTCTGAGCCACTGGTTTTGGGTACTGAGCATACCAATTCAACAGGTTAGCTCCCTCCCCCCGGTCTGAGGGTAATAATTACAAGACTGAGTTTCCTGGAGTAGAATTTTGGGGTGATTTGAATGCACTTAGGCACTACTTTGGCACACAAGTATGGAATGAAAGCAAGCCAAATACCATGACTAATTACTGTGGTAAAGAAATATAAGGATACACTTATGGAATTGCTTTTTGTTACTTTGTATAATTTAATTACGAGTAGCAGGTGTTGATTTTTGCTTTTTAACTCTTCCTTAGAGCATGTCACTGAGACTTGGATGTTGGGGTTAAGACTAGAAAAGGGTTCATTCCCATCTTGGCCACTGCCTAGCTCATAGTGAAATCATGGGCAAGGAACGGAAGCTCTTTGAGTCCCAGAGTGCTCATCTTTAAAGAGTGGAAAAATACACTGTGATTCAATGAAATATATGTGTAAAGGGCCTACTATAGTGCCCTTATATAGTAGTCACCTTATACTAAACGATTGCAATTTTTGGTTCCAGTTTAAATGCATGGCCTGAATCAGCAGTGGATGGAACTTTAGAGATAGCCAATAATACTTAATAAACAATTGGAAAATTGCGTTTAATTCAGTGAACTCTTAGCACACAGTACAGATGGTCCCCGACTCACAGTAGTTCGACTTAACGATTTTTCAACTTTAGTATGGTGCAAAAGGGATATGCATTCAGTAGAAACTGTACTTTGCATTTTGAATTTGGATCTTTTCCCGGGAAGGCCATATGCGGTGGGTATGATCCTCTCTCGTGATGCTAGGCAGCGCGCGGCACCCCCCCTGCAGCTCCCAGTCAGCCACGCAACCATGAAGGTAAATTACCAATATACTTAGACCATTCTGCACCCATACTACCATTCTGTTTTTCTTTTTCAGTACAGTATGCAATAAGTTACATGAGATTTTCAACATTTTGTTGTAAAATAGGCTTTATGTTAGATGATTTACAGGCTAAAGTAAGTTTTCTGAGCACTCTGCTGGCTAAGCTGTGATGTTTGGTAGGTTAGGTGAATTAAATGCAATTTTTTAAAAGATTTTATTTATTTATTTGACAGACAGAGACATAGCAAGAGAGGGAACACAAGCAGGGGGCGTGAGATGGGGAGAAGCAGGCTTCCTGCCGAGCAGGGAGCCCGATGTGGGGCTTGATCCCAGGTCCCTGGGATCATGACCTGAGCCGAAGGCAGACGCTTAACAACTGAGCCAGCCAGGCGCCCCTAAATGCATTTTTGCCTTAGGATATTTTCAACTTACTATGGGTTTATTGAGTCTTGACCCCATCATAAGTCTAGAAAGATCTTTTACAGGACACTGTCTCAGTGACATAAGAGATTGACAAATAAGGCATGGTTGCTGCTCTCAAGCAGTTTCATAACATTACGATAATTTCTAGGGCAAATGCTCAAAATAAAACAATTTCTTAATACCTCCTTCTGTTTCCAGAACTTTTATCTAGTTTTCATGGCTGTATATAATCTAGTTTTCAACTATGTTCACTTTTATATCCTACTGACTTTTAAACACACATTTCCACTGGGTTTAAATAAATTTCTTAATGTCAAACTCATTCCCAGTACCTATACCAGTCAGTTCAAACATAGGCTCCTTCAGCTTTTATACTTTCACTTCTAATTTATTTCTTCTACATTTCTACATGTGCCTACACGTACTCATGATTAAACACCAACTCAGTCCAGCTCGTTATTGAATCATTTCCTGATTACTCTAGCCTAGGATTTCTCAGTAGTGACACTATTGACAGTTTGGATGAGATAAATATCTTCGTTGTGGAGATCTATCCTTTGCAATGTAGGGTGTTTAGCAGCCTGCCTGACCTCATCAGTGCTGCCCCCCATGATTTTAAAAGTTTCAGACATTACTAAATGTCCCCTGGGGGCACAAAATAGCTCCCAGCTGAGAACCACTCTTTTAGCCCACTGTAATCTTTGCCCTTTTCCAAACTCCTGCAACACTTTATCTTTACCACATTATTTAGTATTAAAGATAGTTATATCCTGTATTATGCTCCTTATTTTATTAGTTGCCACATAGTAGGTGCCTAATAAATGTTTGTTTAATTGAGACTGTCTCACTTGAGCCTGCTAGACAGTAAGCTTCTTGAATGTAAGGACATTCTTTTGCTCCAGGAAAGCTTACCTGTTAAAGTTAGTCAGGTTCTGGTATTTGGATCAATTCTCTCCTCATGATCCATATATGAAAATATGAGAGGTTATCCTGAGGAGACATGTCAGAGACTCCCAGTAAATAATACTTGGAAAGAGTATAATAGACTCTCATGTTAATTTTTTTTTACTAGTAAAGTATACAGAATATGGTGTGTAGAATAAATTTAACAACACTCTTTGTCACTTTGTCCAATGAGTATGTGACCTTACAGTAGTCATACTATGTCACTTGATTTAATTATCTCTTAACATTGTATACATTTGTATTTCTTCAAAATTAACTGTCTTTAGCTTTATTCATAAACTGAATTGGTGAATCAGAAATTCACTGATTTGTATAATGTAACATTTTATACAAAGAGGCAAAATATAGGCCATAGCTTTTCCCTGTAAGAAATGCTGAAATGTGTTGTTAGAATATGAGCTCCGAGAGGACAGGGATTTGGTTTGCTCAGTACTATATCCCAAGCATGTAGATTACTAATAAAACATTCAGCAGACATTTTTTGAATACGTGAATCTCATTTTGGATGTTGTATTTCTTACTCAGTTCAACTTGAATTATAACTTAATTCCATCAAGTTTTTATTTCAAAGTCCCTAGTGACTTGTCTTGCCAAAAATAACGGTCAATTCCTAGTCCAAAGAAATTCCAAAATTTCTTTGTTGATCTCTTAGCTTTCCTCTTTGATATACTTTATTCACTTGTTTTCCACGACACCAAACTTTTTCTAATTTTCTGCTTAGCTCCTTTTTAGTCTTTTGGCCTCTCCTTTTTGTGACTTCCAAATGTCGAACCAAGACTGAGGCTCAGTTCTAGAAATTCTTTGACATTTTTCCCCTTGCAGTCTTACTAGGCAATTTAGCTTAAAGAATTCAGACTCTGGAGCTATACTACTTGAATTCATTTCCCAACTTTGCTGCTTATCAGCAGTGACACTGTGCCTCAGTTTCCTTATCTTTAATATGGGATATAGTTATAAATGGTTCTTAGTTTTCTTACCTAAACATCCTCCTTTCTTCATCCTTGCCTATTTCATTTAGATGGCACCATCGCTATTTCTTGTCACTCATCTCTAATGTCTAGGATTCATCATGGCTTTTTTCTTTTTTCACATTGCACATCCATTCTATCAGTAAGATCTTTTGGCTCTACTTTAAAAAAATATATCCAGAATTTCATCACTTCTTCTATTATCTTGCTCCAGTCATTGATATCTCTTTCTTAGACTGTGGCAAGAGGTTTATAGTTGGGCTACACAGTTGCCCCCTATAGTCAGTTCTTATATACAAAGGTCAGTGATCTTTTAAAAATCTTAGATAATGTCACTTACCTGCTCAGAAACCTCCAGTAGCTTCCCATCCCACAGGGAAATGCAAATTCCTTATCAAGGCTTACTGTTAGGCCCCTTCCTGTGTCTCTGATACAGTTTTGACCTCCAAACTCTCTCATTCTAAGCTTCTTGGGTCTGAGCACTCCAAGGTCATTCCTGCCTTTATCTCTATATTGTGCTGTCTTCTTTGCTTGCAATGTATTTCCCCTGGGTATTTGAAGATCTTGATGTCCATTACATCATTCAAGACTGTTCAAATGAGTTTCTAAGAGAGGCTTTCTCTAATTACCTACTGTTAAAAAAAAAATCCATTTTTACTTCCTCACTCTGTTTCCTTGTTCTATTTCATTTTTCTTTATGGTACTCAATTACCTGACATTAATTGATGGATTGTCTCCTGTGTGGATATAAACTCCACAGGATGAGAGCTTTTCATTTCTATCCCTAATACCTAGGGACAGTATCTGATGTATCTGATACACAGTAAGTACTCAGTAAGTATTTATCAAATAATAAATTACTGATTTTTTTTTTTTTTTGCATCTCCAGTCTTGTATTTCTATTTGGTGTTATCACCTAGAAATCAATCTATTAGAAAACCGAACTTATTTTCCAGTCCGATTCTGTTTTCATTATATGGTAATTTTACAGTGTTGTAGTTATCCTGATTTGAAACCCTAGAGGCATCTTTGAATCATTACTCTGCCTCTGCTAAGTCATCATGTCT